TCATGTGTAACCATCAGAAACTTGTCTCACGTTTACAAAATTGTTTTTATATAATTTAAATTTGCACACACCCACAGTTTGTCTGAGACAGTTTTTAGTCTGTAAAATGTAAAACCATTCTTTAAATGTAGTTTTATGCTTTACTTGGGGTTTTCTTGAACTTTCAATAGTTTTACAGATTAAAATTGATCTAAATAATGTTTGGAACACATCCTTTTATTCATGTTTAACATAAGTAATAATGTTCATAACATACTTTTTTTTTAAAAGAAAACAACCGGTAGTTGCAGATTACGTTCTCTTGTAAAAATTATAGAAATATATTTGTTTTGTTTTTTCAATTTCAAAAACTTATCATTAATCCTCACATCTGTGCAAATGAAGCATACCGGTAAATACTAGAAAATATATTTTGAAAGAATGTTTTCATATCAGTCTTTGAGTCCTGAATGATGACATCATGGTCTTGTCACTTCAGCTGTTCTCATGTTCTGCAGAGCAGCTGTCCACATGTTGGACAGAATAAACGTCTGCAGGATGAAATCTGACCTGAGAGCTGCAGATTTCTCTGTTTGTTGAGTCATGCTCTGTTTGCTGACTGCAGGATCCAGTCACTGCGCTGAGTGATGCTGCGCATTCTCTGTTCACCTGCTCCCACCCAGCAGTTTCTTATCGTCAACAGCGACCGAAGCAAACAGCTGCACTGATGCCTGCACAATTCTGCTTTTAAACTTTGAGTGTAAAATAATCCCCTAATGTATTTTTTAATCAATAAACATTATTCTGTGTTATAAACATTAAGTAACGTTTTAAAAGAAAATGTTACTTATATTATCAAATTAGTTGCTCTGACGTTAAATTATTTAAATCAAAAATAAGATGTCTGATAGAAACTAGAGACACAACAGAGTGCTGAATGACTGCAGAAATTTCCAGAAGAAACCAAAACTGAGCAGAAAAGTTAAAAGAAGCAGAACACTGGCTGAAACCTGAAGAGCAGATCACAAGCTAAACAAAAGCAAGAAGTTAGATGAAAGTTACAAGTAGCAAAACACCAGCTTATAGTAGCAAAAAGCTTGCTAAAAACAAAGTTTCAAAAGGCTGGTTAAATATTTTAAAGCAAACAATGTTTTAAAAGTAATTGAACCAATCTCAATTAATGTTGAAAATATAGCAATAATAATAATAATAATAATAATAATAATAATAATAATAATAATAA